TTTGTGATCGTAAAGGCCATTTAGCTAAATTTTGCTATGATGCACAAAAACATAAGAATACTAATCTTTCTTGTGCATCTCATCAAGTTTCTTCATCACATGTACACACACATGCACCTATTTCTCATCATAAGTATGCTCATGTGTATCATTGCGATTTTTATGGTAGAGTTGGTCACTTAGCTAAGTTTTGTTTTGATTTGCGAAAAATTTCTAAATCGCAAAATATTTCAAGTAGACCAACATTATTTCAAAATGTTTTTCATTTGCAAAATAATCTTAAAAGACCATCTTTATTTGCAAATGTTTCTCATGCACATCCACATGGTCAACATAACCAAATGCATCCTCTTCATTGCACTTATTGCAATCGAATGGGTCATTTGCATAAATATTGTTATGACCGGACCCGTGCACTAAATGTGCCCAAGAGGGTTCATAACCCTAGGGCTTTGAGCTTAAAAGATAGGGGTCATGTCCCTAAATCTCTTGGTACCAAGAATTCTTGGGCATCAAAATAAATTTTTTTAAAAACCAAGAATTTTAATGTTTTTATCTTTCTTTTTCTTGGTTTTGAAAATTATGTTTTAAGATCTTTTGGTTATGAAAACAATTTTTTTATCAAATCTTTTGTTTTCATGATTATTAGTTTTATTTTGATGAGAGGTTTGTACTTATATAACCCTCCGGATTTATTGGGTGTTTATTCACAAATCATGTTTACCGGATGCTAGAATATTCATATGGGTTGATACTAGCTCAAGAGCTAGATAAGAGTTGCCTCTCTTGATTTTTTTTTTAAATCAATGATGGTTTGGTTTTATGTGATTGTGGTTGATTTATGATTTCATTTGGTTGATTTGTTTTCTTTCGAAAACTCTTTTTGCATGATTCTCATGTTATTCTCTCATTTGTTTTCATAAATCTATTTTTACATTTTTGTGTTAATGAGACACTATTTTTCACCTTGATATATTTATATATGTTCTCATTTGTCTTTATGTATGTGAGTTGTGTTTAGCATATTTTCTATCTATGCTTGCTCACATATGTTTGCCATGATCTTCATTTCATATATTCATGAGGCATTTTGATAGGGGGAGCAATCCCTATATCTTTCTATATATTATACTCACCTATGCTTATTGATAGGGGGAGCTTTCGCTCTCTTATTCCTTTTGTCCCCTTTTTTGATGTTGTCAAAGGGGGAGAAATATTATGAGTATATGTATACTATTTCTTGTTTATATGCATGTGAATTATAATTTATATATTTATTTTCTTTCATGCATATAAATTGTTTGTCATCATAAAAAATGGGGAGATTGTTGGCCTTCTTGTTTTGATGATGATTTACAAACAATTTACTACTAATGTTGTTTGTCTAGTGTTTGTGCATTCCTATATATTATAGACAAACAACAAAGTTGGAGGTTGGATGGATTGCGCTTCAACGATGATATCCAAAGGAGGTTGGCGGAATGTCGGGTTGAAGCCTATACAATTCAAGTTAAAGATCAAGTTCAAGCTTCATCCGCAAATATATCAAGTCAAGCTCAAGATCAAGCTTGGGTAATCTAGTTTAGATTTTATATTATGTGTGTTAGATACTCTAAGCTCAATATCATATACACACACATTTATCGGTTTCTTCGTTTATATATATATATATATATATATATATAGTTATATATATACATAAGTTTTGGTTTCTGTGCATATATATAGTTATATATATACATACATGTGTTTTTGAGTTTTCATGTTTATAAATATGAAATCACATGTTTCATATTTATTATTGTGTTTTAGTATATATTGCATAGAATATGTAATTTTGTGAAAATATTGTATTCTTAGTTTGTAGACTT